CACCTGCCCTCTATCTTTCTCTAAATATTTTAATTTCTCTAAGAATATATAGGGAGAAAATAATCAGATACACAGAGATGTGAATGAATAATCTATATAGATCTCTCTACTTTCGTTCATCTCTCGATATAACAGACTCTGTTTCACTGTTTAATTATCTCTCTTTTGTTTCTCTCACTTTCCTATCTCACACTGTTTATTTAAGACTTTCTTAGCTGTTAAACCAATTTTTGTTTTAGTGGAATATATACATCGATGTTTTGAACGTATATAAATACAGTTAAAATCCCCAATTATTGTTTTTAAAACAAGTTTAATTTAGACAAAATCCAGTTAAGTGCGCAGAAAATGTAGATAATTATCACACAATATATAATTATAGATATAAATATGAACATAAATTAGATATAACGAATTATAAAACATATCTTTTGTATTATGTATATATTCAACTATTATATATTGAAATTCTCCAATTTTGCCATAATTGCTAATACGTAAAGATTTTTTATATTAATTCTCATTTATTAGTTTTATTCCCTATTTTATCAATTTTCGCTTTTTTTTGTAAGCTAACAATACGTTTTATGAACACTTCAAGTCTAGGGTATTGCATTGCTATTGCTATTCTTCTTCTTCTTCTAACCTTACATATAAAGTATTTAATTTTTTTTCAGTTCATTTTCAGCGTGTCATGTTGCCCTTCCTGTTGTGTTGCTCACTGTTCGTTGGCTGTTGTCTGTTGCCTGTTGTGTGGGTGTTTTGCCTTTTCATTTTTGTTGCTTTGCTGTTGTTTTCTTGGCTTTTGTTTTTGCCGCTTTTGTTGTTTGTGTCTGTGAGTCTGACTCTGTATGGCAACTTGCAAGTTAATGACTAATGTGTGAGGCTTTGTTTTTGTGGCTGTGCATAAGTTGATGAGCGCGTCGCCTTGTGGGTGGGGTGTTTGGGCAGTGCTTATAAGGTAGGCAGACAGACACACGATGTGAATCATGGTAGGGCCCACGCTGGAGCTACACTTTATTAGCCAAGTTCGTTGTCAGAGTCATTTGTTTCGCTATGAAGTTATTTTCTATTTTTCCTATTTTAAGCAAACAAAAGCTGCCCTGATAAACCGTTAAGTGCTAACACTCACACTCACCCACAAACATGCACCCACTTCTATTGAAGATCGAGCGAGCGCAGTTCAAGCGAAAACGAGGTCAGTTTTGCGGCGATATAACCATTTTTGTATTTCATTGCCCACAAAATGACATCATGCGCATGTGTGTGTGTGTTTGTGTGAGTCAAAGCTCAATTGCAGTTGTATGTATGAACAAAAAAGCTCGTTTATTTTGCAAGTATACAAAAATGTATTTTTTTGTTTTGATTTTTTTACTTACCCTTCGCATGCGCTAATCCACAATATACGAAAGCTGCCAGGCATAAGGCATGCCAAAGTTGTTGAGTTGCAAGCATTTTCGCCACCGCCGAAATATGATTTATATATATTTTTTAATTTCGTCTCTAATTGGTCGAAACGGAAAGACAAACGGCGTTATTATATATTAGATTGCACAAAAGAACAGGGCAGAGGAAAACAACGGCACATGCTCCACAAGAGCCAACCGCACATATCATTTGTATTCTTTAACAGTCAGTCAAACTCATGCACACACACACACTCATACACACATACGCATACATAGATTATGAAACAAAGCCGTAGTGCTAAAGAGAATGCCAGTCCAAGTAGCGGCCGAGGCTGCTGCTGGCCAACGGCTAGTGGTAAACGTCGAAAAGTCAGCAAATCAACGGCAAATAAACACACAAAAAACACACAGACACGCACGCACATACACACTCACATACAATTACATTCATACAGAGAGACGAAAACAGAGAAACGTGAACACAGTACGTCAGCGCGCCTTACTTCACACGGCGAAAATACGTCCAGGCCGCACGATGGTCGCGAGGTAACTAAATACTCACAGCCAGCCGAGCATCAGTTGAGCTGAGCTCAGCGTCGACGCCGACACGGACTGCAGCAGCGACGCTTGCGCGTGACGTCTGCCGTTGTTGTTTTTTCGCTCGCTTCGCTGAGCCACTGTGGCCCGTGGGGCTACACTGTGCAGCGCCAGTTAAGTTTTTAAGCTCCTGCGCGGGGCGCTCCAAGAGTTTTAATGCGCTCATAACAATAATTAAGTATAATATACAAATGAATAATAGTAACTAGATGTGTTTATGTGTAATTTAGCTATGCCACAGACAATAACAATTCAATTAGTCAAAGCCGAGCTTTTGCTTCGCTAACTTTAGAGCGCACCTGAGAGAGCGCTTGAGTGGAAGCTTGCGGCAGCCATGCTGGCAGGATCGCTCTCAGTACAACTCACACACACACATACACACTCGCTCAACTTTTTGCTGATAAAAATCAGCCGGCTGCCAATGAGAAAATGAGAAATTGTGGGAGAGCAGTTTTGTTTGTTATTTCATTTTTCCATTTTTTTTTTTCCAAGCAATTACATAATATGGCCTTTGTTATTGTTATATGTAGTTAAAGCAAACATTTAATTATCGTCGCTGTTCTCAGCTGCGCTTATCTGTGATGTTATGTGATAGCAGACCCTGGTAAGTACTTAAAGCTGCAGTTCACTGTACTGCATGTTGAGCATCTACTTCCGCTTCTCTAAGCAGCCAGAACCGTTCTTTTGGTGGTCATTTGGATCGGGTCTACAGAGCGCCATTATGCCACGTTATATGCACTCAATTTCACACTTGTTGGCCGCGCGTGCTCTTCCATCCAAAATGCACAGCTTTTATTGCTGGGCAATGCGCACACACAAACACTCTCTCTCCCTCCCTCCCCCACTCAGACACAGCTGCATTCTGCTCTTGTTAGCTTTCCAATGAATGGGCAGTAAAGCAGCTGATGTGCCAAAAGCTCTGCGCCTATCATTAGTCCAGCTGACCGCTTGCAGTGCCCCCCTACCTGCTTCCCAGTAGGCGGGCTAATGGGCAACGGTAAATGACGTGAAAACAAATGCAGCCAACGATGCGCGCTAATTAAATTTGCTTCTTACATTTAAGTGAATACTAAGCAAATGTCTATAAAAAACAATTGATTTAACACCATTCCTAAAGTCGTAAATTAATATTAAGTTTCAATTAAAGCCGGGGATTTACAATCAGTCAAAGCCGCAAATCACTAAAACAAAATCAAAATATTTCCATTCTGTGAACTAATCTAACACTAGATATTTAATATAATCCATTTGATACTCATTTAAAAACAGTAAAAAATAGTTTTGTTTCTAGCTTCATATTCACATCTTGATTAATAATTATTTTTTTAGCGCGCTATATTCAAATTTGTTTAATCTGTCAAGTTTACTGTACGCTATTCGCTCTGTAGATAATGGTTACTGTCCCTGCTAACCACAAATGTACACATATAATAGCATAAACTAGAAAAAAATATTTAGCTTATGTTCTGCTATCTGTGCTACGGTAGGTTGTTGTCTGGGCTAAACGCTTGTTATACACGCGCACGGTTAAGTTTCTGAATATTACACCAGGTGGCGCTAGTTGCAAACCGACGTTAATTTTAAAATGAACAATTTTGCGATAAAATCATATTTAAGGTACAAAATCCAATCTTGAGCACATATTGTTTGCAGCTCTAAATATTAAATATACAAAGCAATTATATCTTATATACATTTGTATTATTGTCATATTCTTTTGCAAAGATTGCGTCTGCCACTAATCTACTATCCATACACAAATGCACAGATATACACAGCTCGAGAAGAAAATGTTAAAAAGTGCGAGCGGAAACAAGGCTAAAGCAGAATCCGAAAAAGTTCGACGGCACAAAGTTAACGTCAGATTATTTCTAAGAAAACAGATTGTGCACGGCGCCATTCTTTTCGTCTCGCTCACACTCATCGCGCCTAAAGCGGATCACTCTCCTAACGGGACTCTACTTTTATGCATACATATTCGTGCACAAAAACGCCGCGGTACAATTTCTATTTACATACAGACATACCATAGAATTATGAATTATGTACATAGTTGAATTGTGCATTTACACTTGTAGGCCGGGAGATGTGCAATATGATAAATACAATTTAAATACATATTGTCACATAGCACGGCCTAAAAATGGATACATTTAAACGATATTTATGGTGAAAATTTATTTTAAATACACAAATCATTTAAATCGACGGGCTCACAACTGTTTTATAGGCCGGGAGATGTGCAATATGCTGAATAAATTGATTTCAATAATTCATATTGTCACAAATACCGTCCTGCAAACGCAGCTGAAAATTTGACATTTTTCGTTTTTTCTTTTGAAACTTACTTGGGAATATGATAGCAAAGAAGCTTAAATTGCAGACTACACATTATAATATCTGCGAATTAAGACGTGTTAAATATTTTATCCTTTTTCCGGCCGTGAAAAGTGCAATACTTGTAAAATAAAAAGAATTGACACAATTCACAACCGGAAAACGAATGCAAAAAAGCTTGGCTAAAAGTTTCACTCGAAGCATTTGCAAAAAAAAAAAATACACAATTGAAAATCCCTCAAACGTTTAAATTCAAATTTTAAAAAATATCCTCAAAAAAAATTTATAAATTTTAAGCTTGAAAGCAGAACGATGTTAACTGAAAGACTGAATAAATTATAATGAAAAGCTGCTCAAAAATTACCAGCGAATTTTGGCTACTGCATATCGCTGTTATCCTGCTGTTAAGCTCAGAGAGGCGATTATAGATCTGACGATTAATTCAATTTTCGATTACTTGGTGCTGTATACTAAAACACTCGTTAAAATTCAAAAATGTATATGTAATAATCGAAAACTATTTAATACACATATCATATATACATATGTAAATGATACAAAATAATGTTATTTATGATAATGTTATTTATGAATGATTACAGCACTGCAAGGAGCTGATGTTAATCGACTAATCTAAAATATTCGATCAATGTCGAATGTATTCACAATGAACTGCTTTTAATTTATTTATAATTTGGAGTATATACAATTTGGTCATTTTAAAGCTAATCCACATTTCCTATCATTACTTTTATTAGATCCATTAGTTTTGGCTCCATTTCCTCGTAGTAATTCATTTGCTGTTGCATCAGGGCGTAAAGCTTAACGCGTTCATTTTGAATGTTTTGAATGCGTTCCCGGTTTTCTTTACTCTTTGCCAAGGCAATCTAGGATAGATAGAAATCATAATCAAATATAAGCAAAAAAAAAAAAAAAAAAAAAGAAAAAACAATGATGAATGCAAGCTTACCTCTATAGCTTTTTCCTGTGCGTTTATCTGCTTTTGTATAAATCTAATGCTGGAATCCATAAGACGCATGCGCACAGGTCTTGTCCTTTCCTCAGGTGTCAGCTTATGCACTTGCCTGAAATATTTATATTTTCAAAGTTCCATTTGGTCTATGCGTATCAAAAACCTTCTTACCAGTTTGTGCCTTTATAGGGTTCAAATTTCTCTTTGAGCACCTCAAGGGTTATTAATTTTTTGCCCACATCATTGGAAATAAAGAAATTTTCATTGATCTTGGGCAGCAGCTGGCTCATGCGCATGCGCACACGCTCAATCAAAGTGTCCTTGTTGAGAATTGTGTTCTCGTGCTCCAATAGAATCGCTGCGAATGGCTCCAGGCAGATGGGCCTACAATTGCAATATAAATATATCAATAACATATAATTTAAAGACAACGAAAGACTTACCCCATATCTGCAAACAAGTCAATTAATGCTTTTTCATATTCTCCCTTCACTTTGGCAGCGATTGGACTGTGCCTTTGGAAAGCTTCCTCAATATTCGGCTCAGACACACATTTTTTAATCGGCTGCGACATCTTTTATGATCAATTAAATAAATATCAACAATAACAAATTTGACGCGGCTTTAGCTTGGGTTGGCAATGTGACCGCAGCTATGAACAGCTGCTAAATACAGTTGCTATCAGTGTCTATCGATAGACCTCCACATAACAAATAGCTTATCGTTTGGGTGGAATATCTAATAAAATTGCGAAGATTGTTTTTGTTTACTTGTAACTTGTAATTGCATAAAAAGCCTCCAAGATGGGTAAACGACAGCATCAAAAGGACAAAATGTAAGATTTAACGCTTAATTTAAAATTATGGACTAACTGATAACGCTTTTTGGCAGGTACTTAACGTACACCGAGTGGAGCGAGTTCTATGGTGGCAAAAAGGTGGAATCTTTGGAAAATGAGCATATTAAATTTAAACGTTTGCCATTTGGCAATTGCTGTATAACCATGGCACCATTTGAAACGCCATACTGCGATCCTAATGGCAATGTCTTTGAATATGAGGCCATACTAACTTTCTTGAAGGCATTCAAAGTGAATCCCATTACTGGTCAAAAAATGGATTCTAAGTCCTTGCTGAAGCTCAACTTTTATAAAAATGCCAATGATGAATACCATTGTCCAGCTCTCTTCAAGCCGTTCAGCAAAAACTCACACATTGTGGCTGTGGGCACAACGGGAAACGTTTACTGCTGGGAGGCAATTGACCAGCTTAACATCAAGACCAAGAACTGGAAGGATTTGATTGATGATACGCCATTCCAGCGCAAGGATATTATAACAATACAAGATCCGCAACATTTAGAAAAGTTCGATATATCCAAGTTCTATCACATCAAGAAAAACCTGCGTGTTCTATCGGCGGAAGAGCAGTTGGAGCGCAAAGATCCCCAGGGCCGCATAAAGACAATGAATATGGAAACAAAAGAAACACTCGCACAGCTGCAAAAGGATTACCAGCCAGCAGAAGAGGCACCTACCAGCTCGAAGCGCACAGCAGACAAATTCAATGCGGCTCACTACTCGACGGGTGCTGTGGCAGCCAGTTTTACGTCCACTGCCATGGTGCCCGTCTCGCAGATTGAGGCAGCCATTATAGATGATGATCTGGTCAAGTACGAGCGCGTCAAGAAAAAGGGCTACGTACGACTTAACACGAATTTCGGGCCACTCAACTTGGAGCTCTACTGTGATCAGACGCCACGCGCTTGCGATAATTTTATAAAGCACTGTGCAGATGGCTACTACAACAATGTGCTATTTCACCGTTCCATCAGGAACTTTATAGTTAGTAACATTTGAATCTATATATAACTGATAGTAATAATGTTTGTGTCTCCTTAGATACAATGCGGCGATCCAACAGGCACTGGAGCTGGCGGCAAATCGATTTGGGGTAAAATGTTTGAGGACGAGTTCAAGCCAAATCTTTCGCACACGGGACGCGGCATTCTCTCTATGGCCAATTCAGGACCCAATACAAATGGCTCTCAGTTGTAAGTAAAGCTACTTAAATTACTAAAACAAATAACTTAAATTATTCCTTGCAGCTTCATTACTTATCGCTCGTGCAAGCAGCTCGATGGCAAACACACAATCTTTGGCAAGCTTGTTGGCGGACTGGAGACGCTGCAGAAAATGGAGAATATTGAGGTGGACAACAAAGATCGACCCATCGAGGACATTATCATAGAGAATGCCCAAGTGTTTGTCAACCCGTTCGAGGAAGCCGTAGAACAGTTGGCCAAGGAACGCGCCGAAGAGGCGGCCAGTAAGCAGGTGGCCGCCACAAAGCTGGAGCAGCAAAAACGCATGAACGAGCCGCTGAAAGTATATCGCTCAGGAGTTGGGAAATACCTGAAACCAAATGCACCTAAGAAACCAGATCCTCAAGAGCAATTGACAGCTGCACAGCCGGCGAAAAAGAAGAAAGTTGCAAATGGTTTCGGCGACTTTGCCAGCTGGTAGTTGTGCTCGAAAAAATACACAAATTTTATTGTTTAACAAGTCCTTTGGTTCATTCATTCACTCTCCTCGCGCTCGCGATTTTGCCAGTTCTTTTTCATCTCCTGTAGTTTTCCTTGCCGGCGTTTGCGCTCCGTTGACTTTTTCTGATCGAGCGCCTTCTGCTGAGCTGCAATGGACTTTTCTCCGTTTAGGTGGACATCAAGTTTTTCGAGCAGTATTTTACGGGCTTCGATACGATTCTTGGAGGCCAAGCGGTGCAGATGGCATTTGACGGTGATGCCCGTTGGCAGATGACGCAAAAAGACACAATTGTTGGTTTTGTTCACGGCCTGTCCACCGGGTCCGCTGCCACGCATCAATGTCTCCTCAATATCCGACTCCTGCAGGGTTGGGTAACGTGAGTAGTCCAAGTGGGCGTTGGAGGCCAGCCGACAGAGGTTGCTGGAGAGTGAACCAGCTAAGGAACGCAACTTGAGCATTACTAGAGTATGCGCCCTTTTTTCAGCAACGTTTCACCACGCTAAGTAAATATTTTAAATGAAATTTAGTTCCCTTTTCTTGTGATATAACTACTTACCTTAAAATTAAATTCAATTTCTTGAGCGTTTGTTAGTTGTCTATTTTCGCGGAACTCGTGTCGCACTCGACCAAGGAAATAATTCTTATCCGTTAGCTTTAAATGATTGCCGTATTTGATGAGATGCTTATAAAGCCGGAGCACTTGCTGTCGGGTAGGACTTAACATATTTTTTCCTAAATTTCTACAAGAACCTGTTGTTCTTAAATACGTAAATGAACGGTGCTGCCAGACAATACGTATAAGAGTGCTGCCACATAGTCGGTGGCAATCAGCTGATGATAGTAAATGGAGTCTGCATATCCAAAAATAAAAACACATTTCATTATCGTCATAAAAACCGGAGTTGCCACATCGTCTTTGCGGATTTTTACGCCAATTTAATCAGCTGGCCATGTTATCTACAGTTAATCATATTATGATTAACTTCAGATAACAATGTGTAAATACATATGTATGTACGTGAGCAAAATCTTATTTAGCTATCACCACTAATCATAACTTGCTCTAAAAACTAAAAGTCATTGCATCTGGCAATATTTATTTTTGCTCATTCACAATGACCAAGCTTAAGTGAATTGTTATCTCCAAATTTAACACTTGTAATCCATTCACTGTTATCAATATCTTCATCAATTTGAACATTATGCAACTGACTCAGCTCAAACATTTCCTTCATCTGGTGGGCAATTTCACGATCAACAATTTCGCCACCTTGTGTCAAGGACGCTTCAACAATTTCCACCTCGGTCTTTTCTTGAGTGAACATTTCAGCGCTCGTGAGTTGTGGCGGTGCGACCAGCCACGGCAGAAATGATGCTGAAATGCCCAGGGAATATGGCAAAAAGCGTATGTACTCCTGCAGCAGAGTCTCGCGACTGAAAGGAAACATTAATTACAATCTATATAAACTTCATTATGTCATCTTACTTCAAGAATGCTGGAAGTTGTTCATTAGATTGCTTCGTATAGCTCTCAAACAGCGCCTCGCAATAATCATCAAAAATAGTGTCGAAATTTGAATAGCGCACATCTGCCAGCACAGAATTGGCTAGAAAGACGGACAGATCTATCATGGGCGAGGACAGACGCATTGTCTGATAGTCGAACATCATGATATCCAGGGGTGTTCCACTGCTGTCCGTGTCGTACTTGTAGGCCACATTGTTCCTCAGATAGTCGCCGTGGCAGAGTGTGGAGAGGGGCTCGCGAGGCGCCACTCGCTGGCGTCCATAGCCCACACTGCTGTACACCAATTGTTGAAACTTTTTGACAAACTCCTTATCCACTTCGGGATGGTAAGTGTGAGTTGATTGAGCAGCACGTTGCAGTCCAACTTTTGATATTAAATCCCACTCGGGACTAATGGTGTCATTAGCAAAACGTGATTCTCTAAAGCAGCCCGAAAGCTCCTTAAAACGTTGGGGCTGATTGTGCTTCAGAGCATAGCCAAAGCCATGAAATCTGCCCAGATATTTGACTGAGAATGTGTGAGGAAAATAGAGAATAAGAATACCTGCTGCTCATCTTTGAACTCACCTGCAATGCGCACATGATCCAGACTCAAACCATATCTAGCCTTGGTCACACTCCAGCCATCCGAAGCAAAGTCACCCAAGATGATCACAGCCGAATCCGCTTTGATCTCTCCGTAATAATACGTGGGTGCGGTAAATTTGTTATCGCTCAGTTTCCGTATAATGGGCAGTATATCCGTATAAAAACAAATTTCGTTGTGAAATAAGTTCTCAAATTGAGCGTCGTTGTAAGCCTCAGCTGGAATCTCTGGCGTTTTCTGTGTGTGTTAGAGGGAGATAGAGAGAGGGAGAGTCAATTAAGCGTAGCTTAGTTTGCGCAATCCCATTGTCCCACTTACAAATTGTCTAATATAGTATAGCTTCTAATGTTTATATAGTTAAATATAGTTTGTGATGCATGTAACATAGTCAAGCATATATATGAAGTATATAATGTAAAGCAAAGTAACCATAATAGATTTATACTATATAATGCATCTATAGTTAAGTATATATCATTCAGTACGTATATACATATATAGTATATAACACACCTTAACAACCATTTTACGCTGGTACTGCTCGCCGGCGTATTCGAATTGAATTGTCGCTCGATAGCATTGTGTCAACATGAAGGCCTCCTCGGGCCCAATCACAGTGATTTCTATATCCCCAACCTTGAAGCTCGCCAGCTGTGCTTCGCTGTAATTCTCAACCAGACGTCCATTTTTCAGAATCTCTGGCAAAATTGTGCTGGTCAGCCAGTCGATCTCTTTATCAACACTCAACGCCATTATCTAAGCATTCGTCGAGAACCATTCAGCTTCGTGAATAACAAGCAACTACTTGTTGGACGGCAATGTGGCCAAGTTTTAAGCGACAATCGACGATCGTGTGTAATACTACAAATATAGATGTATATATGTGTGTATATGCAAATGTAGTATATATGTATGTATTCTTCGCGCGATTGATTTGTCTAACATTGTTTGTTTGGTCTCATCCGAAATGTTTACGAATTTATCGCTGTGAGGTAGGAACAATGTAGACTATGTATACCCCCTAGTAGTTAAGACAATAATAATAGTGATAAGATAAGATAAGATATTTGCTACGTGGTGGGAAGCTCTGCGAAGAGCATTTATATTACTTTGTAAAATTCAATCAATTTCGTACAGTTCAGTTGGGTCGTTTAAAAATTTGGCAGCCTCTTCAGACCACTTGGATGTATCAATATTCTCATCTATTTGCACATTGTGCAAGCGGCTCAGTTCGTATAATTCCATTAGCTGGTGAGCTATTTCACGATCTACCAACTCGCCGCCTTGTTGCATGGCTGTCTGCACAATTTCCTTGGTCGAGATCTCTGATTCGAAGTTTTCTGCTGGCGATGTTTTCGATGGAGCAACGAGCGACATCAGAAAGTAGGAGGTTATATGTATGGCATAGGGCAAGAATCGGATATATTCCCTTAGTAAATTCTCACGGCTGCAAGAAGTTAAATTGGCTATTAATATGGACCGATCTAAATCTTAACCTAGTATACCTTAAGAACTCCGGCAATTGTTGCTTTGAATGTTTTCTATAGCTTTCAGCCAAGGCATTGCAGTAGTCATCAAAGAGAGTATCAAAATTCGCATAACGCACTTCGGCGAGCAGAGAAAGAGCCAGGAAGACGGATAGATCTATCATGGGCGAGGACAGACGCATTGTCTGGTAATCGAACATCATGATATCCAGGGGTGTTCCACTGCTGTCCGTGTCGTACTTGTAGGCCACATTGTTCCTCAGATAGTCGCCGTGGCAGAGTGTGGCGAGGGGCTCGCGAGGCGCCACTCGCTGGCGTCCATAGCCTACATAACTGTAAACGAGCTGCTGGAATTTCCTAATAAATTCCTTCTCCACTTGTGGCTGATATTTTGCTACAACTCTTTCGGCTCGCCTTAGGCTGACTTTATGCTTCAATGCCCACTCCGTGCTGAGGGTATCCTTGGCGTAACGAGCTTCCCGCAGCTTCGCAGTGAGCTGCTGGAAGCGCTCCGGCTGCGTTTGCTTCATGGCAAAGCCAAAGGCATGAAATGTGCCCAGGTACTTAACTACAAGTTTACAAATATAAATATATATATATATTCATGAAATTGATATTATTTTGCAGACTCACCTGCTATGCGCGCATGCTCCAGACTCAGGCCGTACATGTCTTTGGTCACACTCCAGCCATCGGATGCAAAATCACTCAGTATGATCAGCGCAGCATCCGCTTTGATCTCGCTATAATAATATCTGGGTGCAGCGAACTTGCCGTTGCTCAGCTCCTGTATGACTGGCAGTATCTCGGTGTAGAAGATAACTTCATTGCTGAACAGGCTTTCAAATTGTATCACATTGTATAGCTCGGTCGATAGCTTGGGCGTTTTCTGTGCAAATCATTGTAAATATAGCTTAGGTTATCATCGTCACGTAGATTCTAATAATGTAATTCCTTGTCTAGTCTTGCTGCTATAAAATATTGTTTATCTTGGCTAAAAGTTACGATAAGAACTTTTGTTTTACCTTTACTACCAATTTCTTCTGCAGCTGCTGCCCTGCATATTTAAGCTCTACCGTAGCTCTGTAGCATATGGTCAGCATATATGCCTCATCGACGCCAATTACATTGATTTCAACGCTCTTCACTTCGAATGTTTCCGCCAGGGATTCGTCGTACTCATCGAGAAGTTTTCCATTACGCAGAATCTTTGGCAAAATAATCTCCGTCAGCCATTTGATCTCATTCTCGACTATCAGAGACATTTTTTTTTTTTTTTTTTTTTTTTTGCTTCTTGTTAGCTGGACAAACCTTTTGCAACTGAACTTGAATGCTGTCTGTATTATATGATATAAATATATACGCTATCTGACTGTTATCTAAATAGAATTATATCTATCTATCTTACCTATGGATCTTCGCTATTATCTGCGTAGATTATAACCAGCCCATTTTTCACTCCACATTCTCACTTTCTCTTTTTACTTTATTTCGTCTCATATTGCTTTGATAAAATATTCAAAATTTTAACGCCATTTGTGCAATTTGCGGTTCTAATTAGCAGGCGACAAATGCCCTATCATCCGAAATGGTATAGGCTCTCGTTCTCTGACTCGTTGACCTCCCCCAACGACTATGTCATTCGCAAGATATCCAACGGCAGCCACGAAGTGAGACAAGCCTCCAAGTACACTGAGACCTTCTTTGAAGTGCCCACCTCGAGTGTAGCCCCTTTGCCAAAGAAGGTCAGACGGCCGAGAGCCAAGCAAAGCAAACCAAAGGCCGAAAAGCCTAACGAAATTCTGGAAGTAGACGAGCAATTCGAGATCAAGCAATGTTCAGCGTTAAATCAATTCGAGCGAGAACTGCGTTATCGTGAGCTGAAGCGCTACTATGCCAAACTAATTGAGTCGGAGCGAAGCGCGGATAAAACATACGCCCGAACGTGTCCCAACTGCGGCTTGGTTAAGCCTCGTAATGTCCGCAAGGACATCAGCAAAAATGTGTATTGTTCGGGTCCAGACACGATGCTGCAGAATGAAAACCGGGCAATCTAGCTGAAATCTCAAGGATGCTGCCCAGGAGTTGACTCCGATGGTAATGGTATTCCTTCACTTGAGAGTGTCGATTGAGTTGGCAGTGCGTAGAAGCTGCTGCTCAAACTACGCTCTCAACTGAGGGAGGCTGTGGAGATCTCCAATTTAT